TCAGCATCGTTCACACCCTCTTAAACTTTAGCCCCACACATCTCTGTAAGGGTTGATCCGAGCGTTCTGTCCTAACAACAGCAGTGAAGCACCCAAGCTAACTGGCCAACGTTGGCTAGCTTGCTAGCTACTTCCATACACAAATTAGAGAACAGCTCACTCTGACCATTTTACTCGCCCTAGCAGAGCTGGTTAGGCTGTTTTTATGTTATCCAGAGCGTTGCTGACTGCAACTGTCCTGCTGGCAACAATATCTGCTTTTTTGCCAACATTTACTGACACTGGCCATATTCAACGGGTGTTGAGCGTTTGTAATTTGTCAGTTATTCTGCGCTCTGGCACACTAAGACGAGAGTGCTCTGAAATCGGAGTAGATAGCCAGAGTGAATTGACCAGCTACGTCTATCAACAGTTGTCACAGTGACATCATTAACATTCTATTGAAATTGTTACTTGCATAGAGGAGTCTTTTGTTATGACATGTAGCTAGCTAGCTAAACAAGGAACCATAATCCAAACTCATGACGTTACTACCCTGCATGTATCCCGGATACTTCTACCCCTGAGTCCAGGTTGACTCTCTGCACATCAGTCCAACAACTTTCTTTCTGTTTTCACATTCGGATAACCTAATATTCAAAGTAATAATTAAAAGTAATGTTCATGCAAAAGGACTAAACAAGAGTTCCCTTCTCATATGTCCACAGTATTCTCCTGTCCTGCCAGCAGCCACTACCAAATCAGTGCTGAAACCTGTGCAACTCCATGTCCCTGCGACAAAGACTTCTACTTCAGTGACACCGGCTGTATTAGCTGGGAACAGTGCAACTGCTATGCTGGTGGACACACCCTTAAGGTAGGGGCAATACAAGCTGGATACTAAAAGTTCCTGTATACTTTACGTATTATTTGAAGTTTTATGTGAAAATTTACAATTATTTGAAATTTTCAGCTGGAACGGAATCTGGTCATGAAATTCTTTAGTATGGATTTTGGAGCGCTGTCTGTGACTCGAACGTGGATGTGTAAAAGTCTCACTGATATGTGTCTGTGATCTTTTTAGATAGGGTAATCCTTGATGTCAGACAACTGTTTTGCGGTGCACATCTGCTAGAAATCTGGAGTTGTTCTGTCACAGTCCATGGTGTGCCAGAGTGAAGAGAGCTGCCAGGTCAAGGATGGTATACAGGAATGCTATCCCATCTGCCACCTTAATGCAGGGGTACATGGTTGAGTAAGTAGCCTTTGACTTCCCCCAATGGTGAGCCACTTCACCATAATGTTCTATGATTATGAACCTAACCTTCAATATATGAGACCGTGAAGGACTGTTATTCAGTCTAAGGAATCCAAATATAGAGCCTTAGCTTACCAGTATGGTGTCAAACAATGGTGTTTGTGGGGTTATGTACTTGAAACTTGTTATTTTAACTTCCATAATGAAGGTTTGAAAGTTAAAGTCCACACTGTCTTTTGAAAACATAGCAGCAGGTGTTAGCATTCATGCTTACATGACAGATTCCAGTGGGAAATGATATGCACTCACAACTCTCCCCTTCTCTTTTACAGTGATATGAGAGAACTGACCATGCTACAACTGAAGAACAGTCTGCTATTGGAGAATCCCACCAAGAATACATATTGCCTAAATCACTGTGACCATTTGTCAATGATTTGTAACAAACAGTAATTACAATATTTGTAGAAGGAATGCCATTTTCTGCCAAACCCTCACCTCAGATTTTCAAAACAATTCCAGTAAGTGATTTGTAATGGTCAAATCATTACAATGGTAATCAAGTCGATTTAAAATATTCACTATGTAATAGAAAGTACTAAGCTGTATTTGCTGGATTAATTATCTCTACATGTAATTTGATATCTAAATGATACTGAATTATAAATTAGTGTTGTGACGAATGTATCCTTCCGAATATACATTCTTGTTAATAAAAAATACAATTAAATCATAAACGTGTATATTACATCAAGGAAATAATGCTGTGGTGACCAGTCAAATACAAGCTTGTTCCTTGTTCATGTAAAATATTTCCCATACCCAGAAAACACTACAGTCACCAGTGAAAGTCTACACACCACTTGCACAGTCTTCACATTTTGCTGCCTTAAAATTAAATCTAAAAAAGGATGAAATCTCTAAATGAAAATTATAGAACCCCAGAGTTGATACTTGGTGGAGGCAATTTTGGCAGCCATTACATTACTAAAGTCTGCAAAAGGCAGTACTCACTGTAGTGTTTTTACGGACTACTGTAGTATTGTGGACATGACTGTAGTATACTGTAATATTTACAGTTTACTATAATATAGTAATTACTGTAGTGTTTTTGCAGACTACTATTCTGTAGTATTTACTGTAGTCTGTTTGCGGACTGTAGTATTTATTGTAGTGTTTTTGTTTTATTATATTTGTCATAGCAGTGGGAGCTTTGTCCTTGAGGAAACCTACTTACTCAAAGAGCACATTTTCCAAAACCTGTAGATAGCATCCCCGAGTGGCACAGTAGTCTAAGGCACTGCATTGCAGTGCTAGCTGTGCCACTATAGATCCTGGTTCGAATCCAGGCTCTGTCGTACCCGGCCGCGACCAGAAGACCTATGGGGCGGTGCACAATTGGCCCAGCGTCGTCCAGGGTAGGGGAGGGAATGGCCGGCAGGGATGTAGCTCAGTTGGTAGAGCATGGCGTTTGCAATGCCAGGGTTGTGGGTTTGATTCCCACATGGCCAGTATGAAAAATCAAAAAAGAATGTAAGTCGCTCTGGATAAGAGCGTCTGCTAAATGACTTAAATGTAAATGTAATAGCTAGGACTGACTGAATGGATAGTTCAGCATTTCTGCTCTTTTCTATGACCTGTAGGGAACACGTGGTCTATACTTGGCATGTAGGTTTCTCACTTATTGGTGGCACAAATTGGGATATGGGGGAGGGGAATGGGCAAGGTATAAGCAAATTAAATACTGTAGTATATACTATAGTAATTACTGTAGTGTTTTTGCAGACTGTAGTGTTTTTGTGGACATTACTGTAGTATTTACTGAAGTGTTTTTGCAGTCTGTAGTATACTGTATTTACTATAGTATTCTACAGTATACTACAAAATTATATAGTAATTACAACACATAATCGAGGTATACTACAGTGTGTAGTACAGTATTCTACAGTATACTACACTTATGTAATTGTACTGCTGAAAAAGAAAACGCTATCGCATGGTTAGGATTTCAGAAGTCTTCAGCATGTTTTCCTCTAATGTTCTACCTGGGCTTTGCTCCTTTCCCATTTCGTTTGTTTCTGACAAACTCCCCAGTCCTTGCTGGTGAAAGTCATACCCATAACATGATGCTGCCACCATAATACTTGAAACTGTACGACAAAATGAAAAGTCTGTGTTAAAAAAGCCACTCCAAAACAATCATTCAAAGCCATTAAGTAATACTGCAAGACAACACAGCAAATAAATAACCTTTTGGCATAAATGATAAACTACAGGTTTGGGTCAAATCCAATACAACACAACACAGAGTGAACCCCTCTGCATTTTCAATTATTGTAGTGCCAGTATCATGTTATGGGCATGCTTGTCACCTGCAGGGACTGGGGAGTTTTTCAGGATCAAAAGACATATGAAAGGAGCAAAGCCCAGGTAAAAAGTTAGAGGAAAACCTGGCTCAGTCTTCTGAAAACCTAACAGTGGGATAATTTTATTTTTCAGCAGGAGAATTTCACAAAGTTTAATGGCAACGACACACCAGAATGGCTTTCCAAAAGGTGTTGAGTGTTCCTGAGTGGTCCAGTCTCCGTCCTGATTTAATTTTGCATGAAAATCAGAGACAAGGTTTGACGTAAAAATGTATGCACACATGACGGTAAGTCGCTTTGGATAAAAGCGTCTGCTAAATGGTTTATTATTAGTATTATTATTGAATATTGCTGTCCATCAATGATTCTCAAACAAATGTAATGACAAAAACAATGGATACATTTTGCAATAAGAGTTTGGCAAGGTTGGTAGAATCTTATTCAGAATGATTCACAGTTGTAATGGTTGCATAAGGTGCTTCCACCAAGTATTAACTCTCGGGTGTGAAAACATACACTCTTAGAAAAAAAGGTACTATCGAGAACCTAAAAGGGTTCTTTTGCTATGGAGAACCCTTTGAAGAACCCTTTTTGTTTCCAGGTAGTAGGTTTTTTGGGTTCCATGTAGAACCCTCTGTGGAAAGGGTTCTATCTGGAAACAAAAAGGGTTTTCCTATGGGGACAGCCGAAGAACCCTGTTGGAACCATTTTTTCTAAGAATGTTCACGAATAAAACATCTTCGTTCATTAGGAAAATGCTCAATAATTTTCTTTCACTTTGAAAGTGTGGAGTAGATTGTGGAGATCTGTAGGGGGTAAAACAATCTAATTGAATCCCTTTTTAAATTTAATTTTAAAACAGCAAAATGTGAAGATTGTGCAAGGGTTGTATATACTTCCACTATGCACTGCATGTCTTGCCATGACATCACAAGGAAGCCATATACTTCTGTGTACATAATCAACTATTTTCTATAACTTGTCCCTAATGTAATCCCCAATGCAGAACATAGTAAAAGACCATGGAATTAATGATCATCTGGAGAAGTACAATAGAGACAATACATCAGTTCTTGATGCTTTTCTTGCAGACATTTTATTGTTTGGTTTTTACAGAATCATTCACAAAATGTAATTGTTCGGTAAGAATAGAATGAAAGTCATAACAAACATTTATTAAAGACTGATTCTCTATCATGGGTGATTAATCTGGGTAGTTAAATTGTCTTGTGGATGAAAGAACGTTCCAAGGTGTTCAAAGGCCGCCACTGTAAGGGGTCAAAGAGCATACAACTGAGGTAGCTTTAACCCTAATTAAGTATACATTTTCACAACTTGAATGTTATTGATTGCTTTTCAGATTTGAATCAGTTTCAGATTTATACAGTAACTCACCTGCAGGTGGGGAAGTCTGGTGCGTTCCAGCCGTCCATGTATTCCTGCATAGTCAGGAAACTAGGGACCGGGATAACGTCTCCTGAAGGAACCAGTCTTCCACAAGCTCCACACACCTTGTCAGCCATGTGGGCACTCACTGTCACTATGATCTCCTGAGAGAGGCTGTATGACACCTGAAGGCCTGACATCCTCTCAATCATCACTGTCTTGTCAGAGACCTTCACTGAGACTTCATTACTCAGCAGGCGTGGTAGAGTCACCTTCTTACCATTTATCTGTGAACAACATTGAAAAACAAAGTAACACTGATGGAATAGTATACAATCTTACAATCCTAGATACTGAAGGGAATTGGTGTCATCCATAAACAATACTTAATAATCTATGAATTAATATATACTGTATATGAGGTGACTCACCCAAGTTTCATGCTTGCTGTTGACAGTGATCATCAGATCATTGAAGTAGACGTACACAGCAACAACGCTCTTGAGGCCAGACTTCCCACAGGCCTGCAACGTCACCACCACTCTGAACCACTCTTCCACCAGAGCATTGTCACAAACTTTGATTATCTCATAGGCCCCCATGGCTGTGATTGCACCACTTCTTCCATTGAAAAGGGTGAAGGCGCCATTAGTCTCCAACAAACAATTTTTGAGATAGCAGCCCAGGTGACCATTCTTGACCTGGCAGCTCTCGTCAGCCTTGCACTTGGTGGCCTCACATTTCACCTCACCAGAGGCAGTGCAGGTGCAGAGCTCCTGGCAATCCTCTGACAACACAGACTCACCAATCTGAGGGAGAGAAATAGGTACAGTACATTGTTATTGTGGCAGTGTTATAAGGATGCAGTTCTTATAATAGAGGGACATACACTTTATCTTTGAATTTACATTGAATAATACCTTATTGGACTATACATTTACAATAAACTATTGTACATTACAGTATACACGTATTTTCTGAAAGATATATCTGACAATAATGTGTATGTGTGGTACATAATGTTCTATTGTAAAGTAAACACAACACATTGTTGGAACAGTGGGGAAAAAAAGTATTTAGTCAACCACCAATTGTGCAAGTTCTCCCACTTAAAAAGATGAGAGAGGCCTGTAATTTTCATCATAGGTACACGTCAACTATGACAGACAAAATGAGGAAAAAAATCCAGAAAATCACATTGTAGGATTTTTTATGAATTTATTTGCAAATTATGGTGGAAAAAAAGTATTTGGTCAATAACAAAAGTTTCTCAATACTTTGTTATATACCCTTTGTTGGCAATGACACAGGTCAAACGTTTTCTGTAAGTCTTCACAAGGTTTTCACACACTGTTGCTGGTATTTTGGCCCATTCCTCCATGCAGATCTCCTCTAGAGCAGTGATGTTTTGGGGCTGTCGCTGGGCAACACAGACTTTCAACTCCCTCCAAAGATTTTCTATGGGGTAGAGATCTGGAGACTGGCTAGGCCACTCCAGGACCTTGAAATGCTTCTTACGAAGCCACTCCTTCGTTGCCCGGGCGGTGTGTTTGGGATCATTGTCATGCTGAAAGACCCAGCCACGTTTCATCTTCAATGCCCTTACTGATGGAAGGAGGTTTTCACTCAAAATCTCACGATACATGGCCCCATTCATTCTTTCCTTTACACGGATCAGTCGTCCTGGTCCCTTTGCAGAAAAACAGCCCCAAAGCATGATGTTTCCACCCCCATGCTTCACAGTAGGTATGGTGTTCTTTGGATGCAACTCAGCATTCGTTGTCCTCCAAACACGACGAGTTGAGTTTTTACCAAAAAGTTCTATTTTGGTTTCATCTGACCATATGACATTCTCCCAATCCTCTTCTGGATCATCCAAATGCACTCTAGCAAACTTCAGACGGGCCTGGACATGTACTGGCTTAAGCAGGGGGACACGTCTGGCACTGCAGGATTTGAGTCCCTGGCGGCGTAGTGTGTTACTGATGGTAGGCTTTGTTACTTTGGTCCCAGCTCTCTGCAGGTCATTCACTAGGTCCCCCCGTGTGGTTCTGGGATCTTTGCTCACCGTTCTTTTGATCATTTTGACCCCACGGGGTGAGATCTTGCGTGGAGCCCCAGATCGAGGGAGATTATCAGTGGTCTTGTATGTCTTCAATTTCCTAATAATTGCTCCCACAGTTGATTTCTTCAAACCAAGCTGCTTACCTATTGCAGATTCAGTCTTCCCAGCCTGGTGCAGGTCTACAATTTTGTTTCTGGTTTCCTTTGACAGCTCTTTGATCTTGGCCATAGTGGAGTTTGGAGTGTGACTGTTTGAGGTTGTGGACAGGTGTCTTTTATACTGATAACAAGTTCAAACAGGTGCCATTAATACAGGTAACGAGTGGAGGACAGAGGAGCCTCAAAGAAGTTACAGGTCTGTGAGAGCCAGAAATCTTGCTTGTTTGTAGGTGACCAAATACTTATTTTCCACCATAATTTGCATATAAATTCATAAAAAATCCTACAATGTGATTTTCTGGATTATCTTTTCTCAATTTGTCTGTCATAGTTGACGTGTACCTATGATGAAAATTACAGGCCTCTCTCATCTTTTTAAGTGGGAGAACGTGCACAATTGGTGGCTGACTAAATACTTTTTTTCCCCACTGTATATGTTCTAGGTAAACCCCACCTTGTAGGTGCGTCCTTTGTGGTAACAGCTGCACAGGTCCCACTTAACACAGCCTGTCCCGTTGAAGTAGTAGTCTGTATTGCAGGCACAGCCCTCAGCACAAGTGGTGGGGCAGGTGATAATGTCAGAGAGGCCGGGACATGGGGTGGCACAGATCTCAGAGCAGCTCTGGTAGTGGCTGTTGGCAGGACAGTCCAGGGCTACAGAGGAATAGATTAAGTAATTAGACATGCAATATAATGTCCAGCCACAACACTCAATACTCCAGCCTGCAGGAATCAAAATCACCTTTATTTGCCAAATACATTTACAAGTACCAGGAATTTGACCTGATGAAATGGTGCTGAAAACAAGAGTCAGAATATACAGACAGAATATATAGATGAAAGAAAGCCAAAGCCAAATGTGTCCCAATCCACAGGTTGGTAAATACTTACGACAGAAGGTTGGTGTTCTCCAGTTACTGATGTTAACCCCAAAGTCCTGGCAGTCGATCATGTATGCTGATATGCTGTGACAGAGAACCTTACGGTCTCCCTCAGACAAGCAGACATCATAGACACAATCTCTGAAGTAAGAGGCAGGGTCTATCACATTGTGGCAGGCGGCGAAGGGACCTTTAGGGTTTGTGATGATACTACAGTCGGCCTCAAATATGGCTTTTTTATTAGCGTCACACTTGGGGCAAAATTCTCCGCTGCATCCATCCTCACAAACCACATGCGGCACACTTATCTTCCAGGCTGCCCCAAAGGTCAGGAGGTCCTTGGTGATTTTCCCATCAGGCAGTTGAAACTCATCATTCTTGTTGTCGTTGAAATTGCCACACAGACCACAGGTCTTGCCTCGGTAGTTGCCAGGGACGGTGACCATGACGTGGTACACAAGGTCATAGGTGACTCTCAGACCGAAGTCTGTTATGATGACATCGTAGGTGCCCTCTTGGTAGGCCTGCACTGCTCCGTTGTTTAGATTCACAGGGAGGCTCATCATAATTCCATTTACCTGGATGAATGACATATCAAATATGACAAGCCTTACCTAATTATATGCACTAGGTTAGTTATAGTTATATACTTGATGACCTCTTTTATTATCTTAAAGTGATTACGGAATTGTCTCATGTTAATTAATCAAACACAAAAATAGTATGTGTGCATTTGTCACACCAGTCAAATTAAATACTAACCATTATCATTCCTGCTTGATTCTTCCTTAGAACCAGGGTGTTACCATAGACTTCTACAGCCACAAGCTTGGCAACGGCTACCTTTGGATTATTTGACATGGCGTACCACTTCTCGTTCTCCACCACTACAGAGAAGGGGTTGAGGCGGGTGCCCTCTAGATGGCAGCCTTGAGCTGCAGTGTAGGTGCAGGTACCTTGGAAGTCATAGGTGCTGTTGTCAAAGGTCTTGTAATGTGGGTCACCTGAGATGGTGCAGACTCCCTTTCTAACACAGCCCAGGTGACCATTCATGACCTGGCAGCTCTCGTCAGCCTTGCACTTGGTGGCCTCACATTTCACATCACCAGAGGCAGTGCAGGTGCAGAGCTCCTGGCAATCCTCTGACAACACAGACTCACCAATCTGAGGGAGAGAAATAGGTACAGTACATTGTTATTGTGGCAGTGTTATAAGGATGCAGTTCTTATAATAGAGGGACATACACTTTATCTTTGAATTTACATTGAATAATACCTTATTGGACTATACATTTACAATAAACAATTGTACATTACAGTATACACGTATTTTCTGAAAGATATATCTGACAATAATGTGTATTTGTGGTACATAATGTTCTATTGTAAAGTAAACACAACACATTGTTGGAACAGTGGGGAAAAAAAGTATTTAGTCAACCACCAATTGTGCAAGTTCTCCCACTTAAAAAGATGAGAGAGGCCTGTAATTTTCATCATAGGTACACGTCAACTATGACAGACAAAATGAGGAAAAAAATCCAGAAAATCACATTGTAGGATTTTTTATGAATTTATTTGCAAATTATGGTGGAAAAAAAGTATTTGGTCAATAACAAAAGTTTCTTAATACTTTGTTATATACCCTTTGTTGGCAATGACACAGGTCAAACGTTTTCTGTAAGTCTTCACAAGGTTTTCACACACTGTTGCTGGTATTTTGGCCCATTCCTCCATGCAGATCTCCTCTAGAGCAGTGATGTTTTGGGGCTGTCGCTGGGCAACACAGACTTTCAACTCCCTCCAAAGATTTTCTATGGGGTTGAGATCTGGAGACTGGCTAGGCCACTCCAGGACCTTGAAATGCTTCTTACGAAGCCACTCCTTCATTGCCCGGGCGGTGTGTTTGGGATCATTGTCATGCTGAAAGACCCAGCCACGTTTCATCTTCAATGCCCTTACTGATGGAAGGAGGTTTTCACTCAAAATCTCACGATACATGGCCCCATTCATTCTTTCCTTTACACGGATCAGTCGTCCTGGTCCCTTTGCAGAAAAACAGCCCCAAAGCATGATGTTTCCACCCCCATGCTTCACAGTAGGTATGGTGTTCTTTGGATGCAACTCAGCATTCTTTGTCCTCCAAACACGACGAGTTGAGTTTTTACCAAAAAGTTCTATTTTGGTTTCATCTGACCATATCACATTCTCCCAATCCTCTTCTGGATCATCCAAATGCACTCTAGCAAACTTCAGACGGGCCTGGACATGTACTGGCTTAAGCAGGGGGACACGTCTGGCACTGCAGGATTTGAGTCCCTGGCGGCGTAGTGTGTTACTGATGGTAGGCTTTGTTACTTTGGTCCCAGCTCTCTGCAGGTCATTCACTAGGTCCCCCCGTGTGGTTCTGGGATTTTTGCTCACCGTTCTTTTGATCATTTTGACCCCACGGGGTGAGATCTTGCGTGGAGCCCCAGATCGAGGGAGATTATCAGTGGTCTTGTATGTCTTCCATTTCCTAATAATTGCTCCCACAGTTGATTTCTTCAAACCAAGCTGCTTACCTATTGCAGATTCAGTCTTCCCAGCCTGGTGCAGGTCTACAATTTTGTTTCTGGTTTCCTTTGACAGCTCTTTGGTCTTGGCCATAGTGGAGTTTGGAGTGTGACTGTTTGAGGTTGTGGACAGGTGTCTTTTATACTGATAACAAGTTCAAACAGGTGCCATTAATACAGGTAACGAGTGGAGGACAGAGGAGCCTCAAAGAAGTTACAGGTCTGTGAGAGCCAGAAATCTTGCTTGTTTGTAGGTGACCAAATACTTATTTTCCACCATAATTTGCATATAAATTCATAAAAAATCCTACAATGTGATTTTCTGGATTATCTTTTCTCAATTTGTCTGTCATAGTTGACGTGTACCTATGATGAAAATTACAGGCCTCTCTCATCTTTTTAAGTGGGAGAACGTGCACAATTGGTGGCTGACTAAATACTTTTTTCCCCCACTGTATATGTTCTAGGTAAACCCCACCTTGTAGGTGCGTCCTTTGTGGTAACAGCTGCACAGGTCCCACTTAACACAGCCTGTCCCGTTGAAGTAGTAGTCTGTATTGCAGGCACAGCCCTCAGCACAAGTGGTGGGGCAGGTGATAATGTCAGAGAGGCCGGGACATGGGGTGGCACAGATCTCAGAGCAGCTCTGGTAGTGGCTGTTGGCAGGACAGTCCAGGGCTACAGAGGAATAGATTAAGTAATTAGACATGCAATATAATGTCCAGCCACAACACTCAATACTCCAGCCTGCAGGAATCAAAATCACATTTATTTGCCAAATACATTTACAAGTACCAGGAATTTGACCTGATGAAATGGTGCTGAAAACAAGAGTCAGAATATACAGACAGAATATATAGATGAAAGAAAGCCAAAGCCAAATGTGTCCCAATCCACAGGTTGGTAAATACTTACGACAGAAGGTTGGTGTTCTCCAGTTACTGATGTTAACCCCAAAGTCCTGGCAGTCGATCATGTATGCTGATATGCTGTGACAGAGAACCTTACGGTCTCCCTCAGACAAGCAGACATCATAGACACAATCTCTGAAGTAAGAGGCAGGGTCTATCACATTGTGGCAGGCGGCGAAGGGACCTTTAGGGTTTGTGATGATACTACAGTCGGCCTCAAATATGGCTTTTTTATTAGCGTCACACTTGGGGCAAAATTCTCCGCTGCATCCATCCTCACAAACCACATGCGGCACACTTATCTTCCAGGCTGCCCCAAAGGTCAGGAGGTCCTTGGTGATTTTCCCATCAGGCAGTTGAAACTCATCATTCTTGTTGTCGTTGAAATTGCCACACAGACCACAGGTCTTGCCTCGGTAGTTGCCAGGGACGGTGACCATGACGTGGTACACAAGGTCATAGGTGACTCTCAGACCGAAGTCTGTTATGATGACATCGTAGGTGCCCTCTTGGTAGGCCTGCACTGCTCCGTTGTTTAGATTCACAGGGAGGCTCATCATAATTCCATTTACCTGGATGAATGACATATCAAATATGACAAGCCTTACCTAATTATATGCACTAGGTTAGTTATAGTTATATACTTGATGACCTCTTTTATTATCTTAAAGTGATTACGGAATTGTCTCATGTTAATTAATCAAACACAAAAATAGTATGTGTGCATTTGTCACACCAGTCAAATTAAATACTAACCATTATCATTCCTGCTTGATTCTTCCTTAGAACCAGGGTGTTACCATAGACTTCTACAGCCACAAGCTTGGCAATGGCTACCTTTGGATTATTTGACATGGCGTACCACTTCTCGTTCTCCACCACTACAGAGAAGGGGTTGAGGCGGGTGCCCTCTAGATGGCAGCCTTGAGCTGCAGTGTAGGTGCAGGTACCTTGGAAGTCATAGGTGCTGTTGTCAAAGGTCTTGTAATGTGGGTCACCTGAGATGGTGCAGACTCCATTTCCAACACCCTGGCAATCCCTGACACCGTTCTTCACCTCACACTTCTCATGGGGGCCACAGCTGAACTTCACACACTTCACCTGATAAATAAAATAAGACATAGTTAATTAGGCCATGAAAATATCCTTCACATCAAAACTTTTATTGTTTGGATGTATAGATTAACACTTGATTTGATCAAGGTCAAACATGTTTCTTTGCTCAAATATTTAAATGTTCAACTAAACCATCGTTCCAAAATGTTAATACACATACAGCTACATTGGAAGTATTTACAGAATTTAAACAAAAATACAGAAAATGGACCAAAAGGCAAATATGTGACTTTAGGCATGTCTTACTAAGACCAATGTAAACGTACCTTGCCATTGCATGTGCACTCCTCCTGGCAGAGTCCATTGGGATGGAAGACTTGTCCATTTTTGTAGTATCTATCGTTGTAAAGACAACCACATTGCGAGAGTGGCACACATTCGTCTCCACTGAGAATGAAACCAGCATCACAAACCCATCCTTCCTGACACAGAGCCTTACAGTTGGTGGAGGCAGAGAGGCTATTACAAGTAGCAGGGCAGCCATTTGCACAAATCTCATAGTGACTGTTCGCAGGGTGTTTGAACTCTGGAGATAAATAGAATTGATGAACATTTGATTAATGAATTTTGGGGCAACAACTCTGTGAAGAATAATACTGATATAAGGTCAATATTTTAAAAAATGGAATGTCTGACTCACCGCAGAAGTCTTTGGACCTCCATGCAAAGACCTCAGCTCCTTTCTGCTGGCATGCTGCAGTGTATGTTTGGAGGCTACTGCATAGTGTGTTCTTGTTGCCATTGTTAAGGCATACATCGTAAACACAGTCATCAAAGAAGCTGCTGGGGTCCACCTTGGCGTGGCAGTTGCGGAAGGGACCTTTGGGGTCTCGGATTTTACCACAGAACTGGTTGGTTTCAAAATTATCTTTCTGCGTGATGTCACAGTTAGGACAATGGTTCTTATCTTTACAGCCATGGACACAACCAGGGATCTCTGCAACTCTCCAGCTCTGACCAAGCTCCTCTGGAGTGGCGGCTTGCTTTCCATTCTTCATCTGCATTTCATCGTTGAGTTTGAGGTTGTAGTTACCACACATGCCACACATTGCACCAGCGTAAGTGTGGGGGACGGTGACAAATGATGTGGAGTGCCAGTCGTAGGACACTTTCACCCCAAAGTCAGTGTGAATCACTGCAAAGCCACCACTCAGGTACATTTGCACCTTACCTTTGAGCAGTTTGACTGGGAGGTTGGTAAGCTCTTCATCTACCTGTAGAGAAAATGTTGAATGTTTGAATATGGGGTGGAATGGATGAATAAAGAAGACATACAGATATATCTATTTACAACAAACAGTGAATAAAAGTGAATATATCCCAACATAACTCACCAGAACTAAACCTTTGTGCTCTTTGCTGATGACAATGGTGTGTCCATAAACAACAACCTCCACCAACTTAGTGCTGGACCCCACTTTTTTACCACGGCCATCATTTTGCACTAGGACATCAAAGTGCTCAAGGGCTTTGTTGTTGGTGCAAACGCCAGCCATCTGATACACACAGGTGCCCTGGAAGCTGTAATGGTGGCCATCGAAGGTGCGGTAGTGTGGGTCACCATACACCATGCATGTGGAATAGGCCATCAGGTGGCAGTCTCTCTTCCCATCAACCATCTGGCACTCCTGCCCAAGAGGACAGCCAGTGCTCTTGCATTCCATTTTCAAGCTGGATGAGTTGCAAGTACACCTCTCGATGCAGTGCTCATCACCCCAGAGGGATGCTCCAGCTTTCACAAAGTGACCATTGTACAGGCAGCCACACTGGGACTTGGGCACACACTTGTTCCCATTAAGCACATAGCCCTTGTCACAGGTACAGCCCTTTACACAACTGGTTTTGCACATGGAGGGACCTTCTGGGTCTTCACAGGTGGCAGGGCAGCCCCTACCACACACCTCATAGTGGCTGTTCTCTGGGCATTCAGGGGCATCTATTTTTTTGGGTTAAGGGCAGAAATTATAAGAAAAGTATGGTTACACAGTCACACAGCTAGTGTTCACCAGTCACCCTTGGGAGAATCCCTGTTGCTTGATACACAATATGACACATTTGATTGACATACCTGGGTTACCAGAGGCAGGGGATCCGTAGCCATTGGCATAAGCCCCACCAATGCTGTAGATAGCGAATGGGGAGTTAGCGTGGGCTATCTGGAGGAAGCTAGCTCCAGTACCATACAACACCTCAGCCCATGAGTACTCGGTTCCGTCCACTTTGTGCCACTCGATGTTTAAGGGCATTGGAAGCTTGTCTACCGTGAACCCACCCAAGTCTTTTGTAAGAGCCACCATTACGAACATGTTGTGGAAGCCAGCTTGCCCTTCTAGAGCGTATGAAGTGCTGAATTGATCATTTGGTAGAATGGTGAACAGAAAAGGGTCATAGTATTCCTTCTTTCCTACGTCAGCTCCGTTGAACTCATACAGGACCTGAATGCCTTTGTTAGCGCTCAAGTAATAGGAATTTGGCCAGGTGACATAGAGCTCAAGCGTTTGTCCTGGGAACATTGGTAGTGTAAAGAAATCGATACCAGTTTGACTCACTTTGACTTGAGTGAACTGAGATGTTTGGATGTAAAGACTATCATATCTGTTGATGTTTTTATGGAAAGGTAGTGGTGCAACAATGAATTCCTTCCCCCAACTGTTAACGGGCTGGAGCTGCTCATAGACGTGGTTGCAGCCAGTATATTTCACAGTACAGCTGTGTCCTGATAGAACTCCTACTGGAAGCTTAGAGATCACTTTGGAGCCACTCAGATCAAACTGGCTCTGAATCTGTACACTCTCAAAGGGCATAAGGTCGATTGTCAGCTTGCTGCCTGCACCATACTTTTTTCTTTGGAATGTCACCGGGGCAGTCAGATAGACCTCAACCCCAAAGTTCTTCTTTTTGTAGTTGGTGATGGAAAACTCTTTGGAGAACTTATCACCAGCGGTGGACACGGGGGTGAAGATGAAGTACTCTGTTCCCCAGTCCTTCACAGGGTAGACGACAGAGGTGTCAGCTGTTTCCTTCTTGTAGTTGAATGACAACACTGTGACCTCCTGGGAAGCTTCGATCAGGACAGTGGGGAGGTTCTTCTTGCTGCCAATCATTTCTACTCCTTTGGGTAGATCAAAGGTCACGCTTTTACCAGGGTCAACTGTCTGCTCGTAGACCTTCCCAAGGGCAGTTACCTTGACCTTAATGGGGTGGAGGGAGGTGGGGGGAGCTGCCACTTCAATCTTAAAGCTTGAGCCTTTATAGTCTTCAATATAATTTTGCATGAAGGCTGTGGCAAACTCTTTTCCTGCCGGCCCAGCAGAGCAAAGTCCTAGAAAACAATGTTTCAAAAATGTTCAGCAAATCTATGGAAAAAATTTAGTTCACTAAGGATAATAATTATGCAAGCCACCAACATAACACTATTTATTTTTGATGCAACAAATTCTGAAGGTAAAGTTGATAGTGCAGTTAAAATAGTGCTAAATGATGACAATATGATTTGGTGAGGGAAAAAACCTTTCTTATCTGACTCAGTTTAGCTTGAAGACAAAGACAACCTTGGTCAATTTCATGAGAAAAACAACACCCCACATGAATAATTACTACAGTTTACTATCAAATTCTGTAGTAAAGTATAGTACAGTGTAACAATGTACGCTGGGAGTCGGGAATTAAGTACAGGGAGTGCATTTAATGATAAATAAAACATGGAACAAAACAAGAGTAGCGTACAGACAGGAACAGAGTAACAGAATTAATAACGCCTGGGGAAGGAACCAAAGGGAGTGACATCTATAGGGGAGGTAATCAGGAAGGTGATGGAGTCCAGGTGAGTCTGAGGTTCTGGTGCGCGTAACGGTGGTGACAGGTGTGCGTAATAAAGCGCAGCCTGGTGACCTAGAGGCCAGAGGGGGAGTATGTGACAGTACCCCCTCCCTGACGCGCGGCTCCAGCCGCAGGACGCTGACCAAAGGGACGATCCCGGGGATCAGGAGCGGACCGGTCACCTCTGTTGAGGCGCGGGAACCTGTCAAGCTGGCTGAGGCGCGGGAACCTGTCGAGCCGGCTGAGGTGCGGGAACCTGTCGAGCCGGCTGAGGCGCGGTAACCTGTCGAGCCGGCTGAGGCGCGGTAACCTGTCGAGCCGGCTGAGGCGCGGTAACCTGTCGAGCCGGCTGAGGCATGAGAACCTGACGAGCTAGCTGAGGCATCCCGGTAGCTTTGGAAACAGACGCCTGACGAGCCAAACGAGGCTTGAGAACCTGTCGAGCCAGCTGAGGCATGAGAACCTGACGAGCCAGCTGAGGCATCCCGGTAGCTTTGGAAACAGATGCCTGACGAGCCAAACGAGGCTTGAGAACCTGTCGAGCCAGCTGAGGCATGAGAACCTGACGAGCTAGATGAGGCATCCCGGTAGCTTTGGAAACAGACGCCTGACTAGCCAAACGAGGCTTGAGAACCTGTCGAGCCAGCTGAGGCATGGAAGCCTGACGAGCCAGCTGAGGCATCCCCGGTTGCGTCGGCAGCGGCACCCGGACCTGACATCACCAACAAAAAAATTAAAATGTAAAAAGCACTCCGATGCTTCCCTTTGGTGAGGCGTTATTCTGTAACAATGTATGCTGGGAGTCGGGAAGCAAGTACAGGGAGTGCATTTAATGATAAATAAAACATGGAACAAAACAAGAGTAGCGTACAGACAGGAACAGAGTAACAGAATCAATAACACCTGGGGAAGGAACCAAATGGAGTGACATATATAGGGGAGGTAATCAGGAAGGTGATGGAGTCCAGGTGAGACTGATGAGGCGCTGGTGCGCATAACGATGGTGATATGTGTGCGTAATAAAGAGCAGCCTGGTGACCTAGAGGCCAGAGGGGGAGTATACGTGACATACAGTATAAAAACTATTTCCAGGCTGAGATTTCAATATAGCCTATAGGCTACGGTGTCAATAAATCAATCATTAATTTGTTCATGTCATCACACAGAATAGGAGTCATTCATGCTTTGAAATGCCATCAAGCATTTGTTTTAAAATGAAATAACAAAGGCAGCCTTGAATAATTAGCCTAAACAATAAACAAACTGCAACATGCATGCAACTGTTTTTAGTCTTTGCAGTAATAAATGCCTTACAATATTTTTTGATAGAACAGACTCACTGGTAGCCTGCACAAATAATCTATTTAGTGTCATTTACACTCTTCCAAACAGTCAGATTTTTGTTATGTATTGTAAGCTTCCACAACTAAGTCAAATGTCTTCCACACAGACTTCCCTTTTCCCTCCCGAGCAACCAGTAAACATTCCCCCATTGAGTTTTTTTGTCACGTCCTCTGCATCCATTATGCTGCCACATGTGTTATGGTGTTGGAGTTTGTTATAACCAATTTATTGATGTGATTATGATATGCTACAGGTCAGGCCCTATTGGTCACGTGCATGCGATGCATACATATGTCACGTAAACAGAGCAAGGTTTGAGGGAATAGGGAATGTTTGTCCTAAACAATTGAGGGATTTCAGTTAACAGAACTTTTCAAGTAAGAAACTAGAAATGTCTGTAATTATGTTGCAGCTTCAGCACCACGGACAGCGCGATAAACACTGTTGCTGTGCTATGTATGGTCCATGGTCACTGCAGCAGGGAGGAGAGAGAGACAACGTGCGCCAGTCACACAGGCACTAGCTGTCTATTTTATACACTGTGCGGCAAGTCCGAGCCCGGCCCAAATCTATTGCTGTCGGCTCCCTCTTCAGTCATTTGCGTGTCTTAATTATTTCATTAAACAGTGTGCTTAAAGTATCAGACAAGCTCAGTGCATATACACTGAACAAAAATATAAACAGTTCATATAAGGAAATCAGTCAATTGAAATAAAATCATTAGACCCTAATCCATGGATTTCACGACTGGGAAAAAAGATATGCATCTGTTGGTCACAGATAACTTTTTTTTTAAAGGTAGGGCATGGATCAGAAAACCAGTCAGTATCTGGTGTGACCACCATTTGCCTCATGTAGCGCGACACATCTCCTTCACATAGAGTTGATTAGGCTGTTGATTGTGACCTGTGGAATGTTGTCCCACTCCACTTCAATGGCTGTGCGAAGTTGCTGTCGTACACGCTGTCGTACACGTCGTTCCAGAGCATCCCAAACATGCTCAATGGGTGACATGTCTGGTGAGTATGCAGGCCATGGAAGAACTGGGACATTTTCAGCTTCCCAGAATTGTGTACAGATCATTGCGACAACGGACCGTGCATTATCATGCTGAAACATGAGGTGATGGCGGCGGATAAATGGCATGACAATGGGCCTCAGGATCTCATCACGGTATCTCTGTGCATTCAAATTGCCATCGATAAAATGCAATTGTGTTTGTTGTCCATAGCTTATGCCTGCCCATACCACAACCCCACCGCCACCACGGGGCACTCTGTTCACAATGTTGACATCAGCAAACCGCTTGCCCACACGACGCCATATATGCTGTACAATTGAAATCGGGATTCATCTGTGAAGAGCACACTTCTCTAGCGTGCCAATGGCCATACTTTTCATAGCTGTCTATTTACCACCACAAACCAATGCTGGCATTAAGATTGCACTGAATGAGTTGTACAAGGCCATTAATCAACAGGAAAACGCTCATCCAGATGCAGCGCTCCTAGTAGCAGGGGACTTTAATGCAGGGAAACTTAAATCCGTTCTACCTCATTTCTACCAGCATGTTAAATGTGCAACCAGAGGGGAAAAAACTCTAGACCACCTTTACTCCACACACAGAGACGCATACAAAGCTCTCCCTCGCCCTCCATTTGGCAAATCTGACCATAACTCTATCCTCCTGATTCCTGCTTATAAGCAAAAACTGAAGCAGGAAGCACCAGTGACTCGGCTAATAAAAAAGTGGTCAGATGACGCAGATGCTAAGCTACAGGACTGTTTTGCTAGCACAGACTGGAACATGTTCAGGGATTCTTCAGACAGCATTGAGGAGTACACCACATCAGTCACTGGCTTCATCAATAAGTGCATCGATGATGTCGTCCCCACAGTGACCGTACGTACATACCCCAACCAGAAGCCATGGATTACAGGAAACATCCGCACTGAGCTAAAGGGTAGAGCTGCCGCTTTCAAGGAACGGGACTCTAACCCGGACGCTTATAAGAAATCCCGCTATGACCTCCGACGAACCATCAAACAGGCAAAGAGTCAATACAGGTCTAAGATTGAATCATACTACACTGGCTCTGACGCTCGTCGGATGTGGCAGGGCTTGAAAACTATTACAGACTACAAAGGGAAGCACAGCCGCGAGCTGCCCAGTGACACAAGCCTACCAGACGAGCTAAACCACTTCTATGCTCGCTTCGAGGCAAGCAACACTGAAGCATGCATGAGAGCACCAGCTGTTCCGGACGACTATGTGATCACGCTCTCCGTAGCCGATGTGAGTAAGACTTTTAAGCAGGTCAACATTCACAAGGCCGCAGGGCCAGACGGATTACCAGGACGTGTACTCCGAGCATGTGCTGACCAACTGGCAAGTGTCTTCACTGACATTTTCAACATGTCCCTGACTGAGTCTGTAATACCAACATGTTTCAAGCAGACCACCATAGTCCCCGTGCCCAAGAACTCTAAGATAACCTGCCTAAATGACTACCGACCCGTGGCACTGACGTCTGTAGCCATGAAGTGCTTTGAAAGACTGGTCATGGCTCACATCAACAGCATAATCCCAGAAACCCTAGACCCACTCCAATTTGCATACCGCCCCAACAGATCCACAGATGATGCAATCTCTATCGCACTCCACACTGCCCTTTCCCACCTGGACAAGAGGAACACCTACGTGAGAATGCTATTCATTGACTACAGCTCAGCATTCAACACCATAGTGCCCTCAAAGCTCATCACTAAGCTAAGGATCCTGGGACTAAACACCTCCCTCTGCAACTGGATCCTGGACTTCCTGACGGGCCGCCCCCAGGTGGTAAGGGTAGGTAACAACACATCTGCCACACTGATCCTCAACACGGGGGCCCCTCAGGGGTGCGTGCTCAGTCCCCTCCTGTACTCTCTGTTCACCCATGACTGCATGGCCAGGCACGACTCCAACACCATCATTAAGTTTGCCGACGACACAACAGTGGTAGGCCTGATCACCGACAACGATGAGACAGCCTATAGGGAGGAGGTCAGAGATCTGGCCGTGTGGTGCCAGGACAACAACCTCTCCCTCAACGTGACCAAGACAAAGGAGATGATTGTGGACTACAGGAAAAAAAGAGGACTGAGCACGCCCCCATTCTCATCGACGGGGCTGTAGTGGAACAGGTTGAGAGCTTCAAGTTCCTTGGTGTCCACATCACCAACGAACTATCATGGTCCAAACACACCAAGACAGTCGTGAAGAGGGCACGACAAAGCCTATTCCCCCTCAGGAGACTAAAAAGATTTGGCATGGGTCCTCAGATCCTCAAAAAATTCTACAGCTGCACCATCGAGAGCATCCTGACTGGTTGCATCACCGCCTGGTATGGCAACTGCTTGGCCTCTGACCGCAAGGCACTACAGAGGGTAGTGCGTACGGCCCAGTACATCACTGGGGCAAAGCTCCCTGCCATCCAGGACCTCTATACCAGGCGGTGTCAGAGGAAGGCCCTCAAAATTGTCAAAGACTCCAGTCACCCTAGTCATAGACTGTTCTCTCTGCTACCGCACGGCAAGCGGTACCGGAGTGCCAAGTCTAGGTCCAAAAGACTTCTCAACAGCTTCTACCCCCAAGCCATAAGACTCCTGAACAGCTAATCATGGCTACCCGGACTATTTGCACTGCCCCCCCACCCCATCCTTTTTACGCTGCTGCTACTCTGTTAAGTATTTATGCATAGTCACTTTAACTCTACCCACATGTACATATTACCTCAACTACCTCAACTAGCCGGTGCCCCCGCACATTGACTATGCAACGGTACCCCCCTGTATATATAGCCTCCCTACTGTCACTTTATTCTATTGTATATATAGCCTCCCTACTGTCACTTTATTTTTTACTTCTGCTCTTTTTTTCTCAACACTTTTTTGTTGTTGTTTTATTCTTACTTTTTTGTTTAAAATAAATGCACTGTTGGTTAAGGGCTGTAAGTAAGCATTTCACTGTAATGTCTGCACCTGTTGTATTCGGCGCATGTGACCAATAAAATTTGATTTGATTTGATTTGATTTGAAGTTGAGTATTTGCCCACTGAAGTCGATTACGACGCCGAACTGCAGTCAGGTCAAGACCCTGGTGAGCACGACGAGCACGCAGATGAGCTTCCCTGAGATGGTTTCTGACAGTTTATGCAGAAATTCTTCGTTTGTGCAAACCCACAGTTTCATCAGCTGTCCGAGAGGCTGGTCTCAGATGATCCCGCAGGTGGAGGTCCTGGGCTGGCGTGGTTACACGTGGTCTGCGGTTGTGAGGCTGGTTGGACTTACTGCCAAATTCTCTAAAACGACGTTGGCTTATGGTAGATAAATTAACATTAAATTCTCCAGCCTTTCATTTTCCCCAGCACACGGTGCACCTGTGCAAAGATCACGCTGTTTAATCAGCTTCTTGATATGCCACACCTGTCAGGTGGGTGGATTATCTTGGCAAAGGAGAAATGCTCACTAACAGGGATGTAAACAAATTTCTGCACAAAATTTGAGAGAAATAAGCTTTTTGTGTGTATGGAACATTTCGGGGATCTTTTTTTTCAGCTCATGAAACATGGGACCAACACTTTACATGTTGCGTTTATATTTTTGTTCAGAATAGTTTGTTTTTTTAAAACACTTATGGTGTTTTTATATAGGCTATGGAAAAATATACGTTCGAACATTTGATTGGTTGAAAGAAGAGACAACTCTCGGTAAACCAAGATTTGTTTTAGCCAGGGACAGCCCCACTCCCTACCTTGTAAGCTTACCCAGTATCTAAGGCTTGGCTTGACATTCTCCCAATGTCATTAAACCTTTTGGTGTTTTGTAACAGATGTCACTTTCCATTCATGAAATGGCTGCTTCACAGTTTGGATTGATTGATTTTATCATTTTTAAAAATACATAGAAAAATATTTTTAAAACTGACCGGGATTGCAAAATAAAGTCAGGGACTTATTTCCATTGTGGTCCACTTCCCATAGTCTTTAGGGTGTCTATAGCTACGTTTCCATCCAATTGGAGACACATTTTCATGTGAATATTCTAAAAACAGTATAAAAACAATATATTCATTCCAGAGTTTCCTTTAGGAAAATTTGGCGCTGGACAATGTGACCATTAAGATTTTAATTTACCGGACATTTGACAAATTTACCAGACATCCTTTCAGATCTGACCTGGCACAGCCAGCGCCATCAATAAACAAGCGATATTGGCCAAATGAGGAACATTTAAATGTCCTTAAAAACAGCATATAACAAATTACAAAAACACCATTCATTGGGTTTCGATGTGTAGCATACGCAAAACTTTATAGCCAATTTCTTTTCTTTTTTTAAATCAGAGTTTTGAGCACTAAATACATCATGGCATTGCATGCATAGGCATGTAGGCTTAGGTGTCCACTGTATGATATTCACTTTAAAAAATATATAGCCTATATAAAGAAAGACAAGCTTAGGCCTAGCCCCAGATAGAGATATGCTGGCGGCATTCTACATACAACACCAACATGCATTTCTTTATGTCTGATGGCTACTGCGTCTGCTATACAGATATAGATGTAGGCTACAGAAGGAATCTAATTAGTTAATTTTCTATCAGGATATTTTGTATAAAGATAGGCATTATATTGTTATCATCTTTATATTTTTGGGAGGGCAAAAAGCTGACAATTATGCCTATCAGCTAAGGGAAACCCTGGCGCATTTTCCCATCAGAGTTGTGTTTCCATCAAATTGACTTGTTGCAGATAAAAGTCTGTGCGTGAATATGTAGTCCACATAAAAAAATATTTTGAGGTTAAATTCCCATGTACTGAATAAAAAATACAAGTTAAATGGGTTTCAATCTCATTTTTACCTCTAGGCCTACTGATGGTTTTGTCACAAGGAATGTTGCGTATAGGCAGGCTATAGCGAATGTGCCCACTCTGGTATTGGCATGTGCACTCTAGCCAACAGTACGCAGATACAGAGCAGGTATAGCCCACTACATTATGAGATTATTATGGACAAAAGTGCAAGATTATTTTTATTTGTCATATGGCAGCCAAGCATCGATTTATCATTCACCAGAATAACCCTCGACATTTATTGAAAGGAGCATCAACCTCATCACTGTGCACTTCCATCACCCTGTGAAGTTCATCATAACTTATTTCATCTGTAGCTAAAAAACTGAATGCTTTTTCATGATGTTGTGACATTTTCTTTTTATTCAACATTTATTTACGCTCATAAAAAGGTTGGATGGAAACCTGGTCAATGTCAAGCCATTTTGAGGATGCTGAAATTATATTTTGGATGAATGTGCGCAGGCCTACAGGAGACTTTTGAAATAGCCTAATCAGATTAAAACATTGTGACTGGTTGTGTTATGCCACATATAAAAGGTAATACATAAAAAAAGTTAAATGATAAATATTTAGGCTATAGTGAAGCGTTGGTTCTAGGTGTGCAAAGAATAGCCGCTCAGATTGGAGAGGAGGCAGGCTGTGTGTTAAGCTTTCCTGAATAACTGGTTTTATTGTCTTCTCAGGAATTCAGCCTTCTCTGTGTTGATCTCACCAACCCCCATTGTCACACCTCTGGGTAGCAGAGGTTCTGTTGTGATTATATCATATAGGTCTGATATATAATTGGAGGTTAACTTTACAGTAATACTATTGGTCAACAACTCAGATTTTGAATCCAAACATGTTATAAATGGGTCTTAGATTCATTGTCTCTTGCTCTTTTTTGTTCCTGAGATACTCTTTGCTGTGGTGAGATCTCTCTCTCTCTCTCTCTCTCTCTCTCTCTCTCTCTCTCTCTCTCTCTCTCTCTCTCATCATGTGTACTACTTACTATCGAATTTTGTAGTATACTGTAGAATATTATACTACACACTGTAACATCCCTCGATCATGTAGTGCTTACTTTAGGATTTTGTAGTATACTGTAGAATATTATACTACACACTGTAGTATCACTCGATCATGTAGTGCTTACTTTAGGATTTTGTAGTATATGTAAGGCTAATCAACGAGGGGCTATTCGTTCTATGGAAAATAATGAACGACGTTGTATTATTTTCCAGAGAACGCATAGAGCCCCGAGTTGATTATCCCTTTTATACCATGGCTATAATTTAACACATTTGCCGCTAGAAATGTGTTCATTTGCCGGTAGAAATGTGTTCAACATCCACTGAAGTAGCTAGCAAGTTTACTAACTACAGTAGTTGCCATGGTAACCAAAGAAATAGACTTGCTATAATAATAATAATAATAATAATATGCCATTTAGCAGACGCTTTTATCCAAAGCGACTTACAGTCATGCGTGCATACATTTTTGTGTATGGGTGGTCCCGGGGATCGAACCCACTACCTTAGCGTTACAAGCGCCGTGCTCTACCAGCTGAGCTACAGAGGCTGATAGTTTTGGTTAGCTAAACTAGCTTGCTATTATGAAAATCTAATTCAACAGTACCAATACTGTTTTCAATTCGACTTTTGCTTTCAAAAGCAGCTCAAACAAAACTTGTAAAAATGAACTATAGCCATTGAATTCTACCGTGAAAATATACTGTGCGTTATACAGGTAAATAATGCACGCTCTAGAATGCTCTTCAAGCCAATCAGAAAGGAGTATGCCACAATTCCAAGGTATAATTAAGTGATAAGGCCCGAGGTGCTGTGGTATATGGCCATTATACCACAGATAGTAAAAAAATATATTTGATTATACCATGGCATTGTTGAATACTTGTTTCTGATTGGCTTGAAGGGCATTCTAGAGCGTGCATTATTTCCCACTGTATATTTGCACGGTAAATAATCTGGAAAATAATGCAATTCCGTGGATTGTCAGTTCCATTCCGCTAGCGCATCTTGGAAGACACCTTCCACGTCGTTCATTATTTTCCATAGAACGCATAGCCCCTCACCAACGTAATTAGAACAGTAAATAGTATTTGTCGTCATTTGTGTATACGGTCTGCTATACCACGGCTTTCAGCCAATCAGCATTCAGGGCTTGAAACACCCAGTTTATAATACAGTATACTACAGTCATGTCCTCAAAAAATTGCTTGCTCACTATCTAGTACTTACCACCAAGCAGCAGAACCGCGAAGCATTGCAGTGACCCCTTCATCCTTGCGGCCAAAAAGAAATACAAATGGTTATCCCCTGACACCACACAACAACCTTTCTGTGAGAAGGACAGGAACTTATAAGCAGTAAAACATCTAAAAGGGCATGCCAAATGGATTCTACATATGGTAGGCTAGTGTACAAGAAAACGTCAGACACTTCAGAAACATCCCAAACGTAGTATTGCCAAAGGAAATTAGTATTAAAATAAATTTTTCTAGACCTACTAGTCAACAGATTTACAAAAAAATCAGAAATCTCTTACCTGGATGACTGGCTTGATGGGCTCCTGGGTGCATGCCTTATATTTGGTTGGGCTTCCAGATAGGAGCCAATCAGTACAGAGCTGGCACCTTTGTCAGGTGCCACCTGCCAGGACAGGTGTGACCTTTGTACATGGCAAAGCCTTCTGTCTAGATGTTATCACTTATCAGATCTTATATCGACATGCACCCACACAATCCGGATGCTTGGTTGCTGTTAATGTGTATTCTATTAGCAACTCAAAACCATTTGCTTTATCCACACCAATGCAGAGTTTAATGGTCCAATTCAGCCATTTTTATCTCAATATCAAATCATTTCTGGGTACCAATTAAGTACCTTACTGTGATTGTTTTCAAATAAATTGGTCAGAAACACAATTTCTCATTGGTCTATTAACTAATTTACCGCCTGGTGATGTAAAAAAAAAAATGCCACAGGCTGAAATTTCAGGTGGTCTTTTCAAACAGCTCTTACACTAAAAGTGCATTATCAAAATGTCCACAATTTCAGAGTTTTATTCCAACCTCATAGTGTGGAAATATACACTCAGTGGCCAGTGTATTAGGTACAGCCATCTAGTACCTTTGCCTCCAGAACAGACTGAATTCTTCAGGGCATGGAAACATTGCTAAATTGGTATCAAGTGATCTAACATGTGCCAGGAAAACATTCCCCACACCATTACACCACCGCCACCAGCCTTTACTGTTGACACCTGGCAGGATGGGGCCATGGACTCATGCTGTTTACACCAAATCCTGACTCTGCCATCATCATGATGCAACAGGAACCGGGATTCGTAGGACCAGGCAATGTTTTTCCACTCCTCAATTGTCCAGTGTTGGTGATCGCGTGCCCACTGAAGCTGCTTCTTGTTTTTAGCTGATAGGAGTGGAACCCAGTGTGGTCGTCTGCTGCAATAGCCCAACCGTGACAAGGACAGACGAGTTGTGCGTTCCGAGATGCCGTTCTGCAAACCACTGTTGTACTGCGCTGTTATTTGGCTGTTTGTGGTCCGCCTGTTAGCTTGCACGATTATTGCAATTCTTCTTTGACATCTCATCAACGAACTGTTTTCGCCCACAGGACTGTCGCTGACTGGATGTTTTATGTTTGTCGCATCATTCTCAGTAAACCCTAGACACTGTCGTGTGTGAAATGCCCAGGAGGCCAGATGTTTCTGAGATACTGGAACCGGCACGCCTGGCACCAACAATCATACCACACTCAAAGTCACTTAGGTCACTCGTTTTGCCCATTCTAACGTTCAATCGAACAGTAACTGAATGCCTCAATGCCTGTCTGACTGCTTTATATAGCAAGCCACGGCCATGTGACTCACTGTCTGTACGAGCAAACCATTTTCGTGAACGGGGTGGTGTACCTAATAATATATAAAACACAGGAAAATCACGTTTTTGACTGCACTGGGCCTTTAAGTAACACATAGTGATAAATATGAAAAATAGATAAACTGATGACATTTGGTAGCTTCAGTAAAATGTTATTGTAATATTCAGTAGATGTAATATCTAATGGCATACAATCCCCAACAAATATATCGCTGTTGAGTTGGTCATCCAGTATCCCTAGGACATTAGGTGAAATGGATTATTGTAAAGTGTAGTGTATTATTATTATTATTATTATTATTATTATAATTAAACTGACAAAATGGCCTGTCTTCACAAATTAAATGGGCGGCAGGTAGCCTAGTGGTTAGAGTGACAAGATGAAAAATCTGTCTATGTGCCCTTCAGCAAGACACTTAACCCTAATTTCACCAGGGCCGCCGTCCACAATGGCTGACCCTGGCTGTGACCCCACTCTCTGAGGGTGTCTCAGGGAGAGTGGGATATGCAAAAACCACATTTCCAAATCACACATGCATATAGATTACACACTTGTATGTGTGAAATAGGACAGAAATATGAGCACCCACCAAATGCACCTCTAGCTCTAGTTAGATCCCTGTAGGCCTACTCTGTACAGGGTTCTAGCGTAGGATGGGTTATGGATGGGGGAACACTTTCAACCTACCTTTACTTGGAGATACTTCCTTCATTCTTGATTTGGAAGGTTTCCAGTTGCAGGTGGAACGACGATAACTAGAAAATAATCAGAAAGACATTAAATCTACTTTTTGTACCGAGTGAGAAATGCCTCTCGTATGTGTGGGTCGCACTGTGTGACGCGCTGTCATCTTCTTCTACATGTGACCGCATCGCTTAGAAATTACCATTTCCTGCAAAGATGTTGGGAAATGCGAGATGTCCAGCAGCTAAAATGATGAGGGAACTCCTCACTCTGTGCAAAAGGTTTATGGAGTTCTACCTGCAACTAGAAAAACGTGTTTTTAAGACACCGATGCCTTCCAAATCGAGAATGAAGAAAAAAATACGCAAAGTAAAGGTTGGTTTAATGTTGTTGTAATGTGTTGTCTATAGACGACGGACTCGCTCAAGCTGTCGGGACTAACCCACAACGTTAGACACGGACACGAACGATCTGCTTGCGTGTTGATACACTGGTGGTTTGTTGTGGCCGAGTATTGGCGCTAAACCGTGTTGTTGGAGTCCGGCATGCTAGCTGGCTGTGGCATCTTATGACTAGGTGCCCGGACGATTTTCACGGAATAATACTGTACCTAGTTAGCTAGCTGAATAAACTAAGTTAGTCTATTCCTAGAAAACATTGAACCGCTGTAGTTTACAACAATTATAGTTTCTGAGGTGGAAGTTGGGAGAGTTATATTTGGGAGTTGTGGTGAGGGAGGCCCCGCTCTCTCCTTTCCCAGATGTTTAGTTCATTTCATTCCGATCTCCTCTGCATTATTGTAGCCATTTGCTGCAGCCTGTCAACTATGCCTCTGCCTATCCCTGTTCTCTCCTCTCCGCACAGGCTATACAAACGCCTCACACCACGTGGCTGCTGCCTCTCTAACCTGGTGGTCCCTGCACGCACCACCCACGTGGAGTTCCAGGTCTCAGGCAGCCTCTGGAACTGCCGTTCTGCTGCCAACAAGGCAGAGTTCATCTCAGCCTATGCTACCCTCCAGTCCCTCGACTTCTTGGCGCTGACGGAAACATGGATTACCACTGAAAACACTGCTACTCCTACTGCTCTCTCCTCGTCTGACCATGTGTTCTCGCATACCCCGAGAGCATCTGGTCAGCGGGGTCGTGGCACAGGAATCCTCATCTCTCCCAAGTGGACATTCTCAATTTTTCCCCTGACCCATCTGTCTATCTCCTCATTTGAATTCCATGCTGTCACAGTCACTAGCCCATTTAAGCTTAATATCCTTGTCATCTATCGCCCTCCAGGTTCCCTTGGAGAGTTCATCAATGAGCTTGACGCCTTGATAAGTTCCTTTCCTGAGGATGGCTCACCCCTCACAGTTCTGGGGGATTTCAACCTCCCTACGTCTACATTTGACTCATTTCTCTCTGCCTCCTTCTTTCCACTCCTCTCCTCTTTTGACCTCACCTTCTCACCGTCCCCCCCTTCTCACAAGGCAGGCAATACGCTTGACCTCATCTTTACTAGATGCTGTTGTTCTACTAATCTCACTGCAACTCCCCTCCATGTCTCCGACCACTACTTTGTATCCTTTTCTCTCTCACTCTCCTCCAACACTACTCACTCTGCCCCTACACAGATGGTAATGCGCCATCGCAACCTTCGCTCTCTCTCTCCCGCTACTCTCTCCTCTTCCATCCTATCATCTCTTCCCTCTGCTCAATCCTTCTCCCTCCAATCTCCTGATTCTGCCTCCTCAACCCTCCTCTCCTCCCTTTCTGCATCCTTTGACTCTCTATGTCCCCTATCCTCCCGGCCGGCTTGGTCCTCCCCTCCAGCTCCGTGGCTTGATGACTCATTGCGAGCTCACAGAACAGAGCTCCGGGCAGCTGAGCGGAAATGGAAGAAAACTAGACTCCCTGCGGACTTGGCATCTTTTCACTCCCTCCTCTCTACATTTTCTTCATCTGTTTCTGCTGCTAAGGCCACTTTCTACCACTCTAAATTCCAAGCATCTGCCTCTAACCCTAGGAAGCTCTTTGCCACATTCTCCTCCCTGCTGAATCCCAACTCTCTTGCTATCTCTCTCAGAATGACCTTCTTGATCCAAACCAGTCAGGTTTCAAGACTGGTCATTCAACTGAGACTGCTCTTCTCTGTGTCACGGAGGCTCTCCGCACTGCTAAAGCTAACTCTCTCTCCTCTGCTCTTGTCCTTCTAGACCTGTCTGCTGCCTTTGATACTGTGAACCATCACAGTATCAAAGGCACAATGCATTCGGGCAGGTAGCGTTCTTCTGGCATCTGCCAAACCCATATTTGTCTGTCGGACTGCCAGATGGTGAAGCGTGATTTATCACTCCAGAGAACGCGTTTCCACTGCTCCAAAGTCCAATGAAGGCGAGCTTTACACCACTTCAGCCAACGCTTGGCATTGCGCATGGTGATCTTAGGCTTGTGTGCGGCTGCTCGGCCATAGAAACTTATTTCACAAACAGTTATTGTGCTAACGTTACTTTCAGAGGCAGTTTGGAACTCTGTAGTGAGTGTTGCAACCGAGGACAGACGATTTGTACGCGCTACGCACTTCAGCACTCGGCGGTCAAGTTCTGTGAGCTTGTGTGGCCTACAACTTCACGGCTGAGCCGTTGTTGCTGCTAGACGTTTCCACTTCAAAATAACAGCACTTACAGTTGACCGGGGCAGCTCTAGCAGGGC